CTCATAACAGTTCATATTTTTAAATTTAAAATCTCATTTTTTCTAATGCATTTGTATTTCAATTTTTAATAAATATCTTTGTGAAGTAAAGTGTGTATGTGGTATGTGTGCTCATATCAGTAATTTATATAAACAAAATAAATCATAATACTGATCAAGTAAAACTATTCCAATGCTAAACTGATTAAAGTGGTCAAAATTTTTATTTGATTAGATATTTATTTTTTTGGGACTTCTGTCCCATCATCTGATCCTTCTAATGTCTGAATCAGAAAATTTTACCAATAATGCCTGTAAATTCTATTATATATACATATATATATCAATTTGCCAATTTTATATATATATAGCTACTATTAATAGTAGTGGTAAAGTAGTCCGGTTTAATCTGGCAATCAGGCTTTGAGATGTTTATATATGTATATAAAATTGAACTGGTTTTTGAGCTGTATTTTATTCATTTTAATTTATATATTATAGAAATTTACAATTGTTTGTCTTTGAATTCAAATTTATTATTGTATAAGATATAATTGGTTGTTTAAAATACATAATTTGCCAAAACACTCATATTTTTTATAGAAATTGCCTGTATGCTTCATGTATTGTATATTTGAGATTTTTCCTTCTTGTAACATGATAAATGGTATGATTAACCCTTTGCAGTACTGTGTCAAGCACTGCTTGATATCAAATTTCTTTCAGCAGGTCCTACGTTGTGCAGTGTTTTCTAACTACCAGTACTGCCATCTGTTGAGCTAGTAATTTTTCATAAATTTGAATAAATATTCATAAATAAACTACTTGTATTTTTTATATATAACCACCATCTATCAAAATTTATCATATTCTATGAGCTTGTTTTATAATATACTTCATATCATCTGCTCAAATTAGGATTATGGTGGCATGCAAAAAAATCAGAGTACAATGGTACCTCAGGATACAAAATTAATCCGTTCCGAAACTGAGATCGTATCATGAAAATGTCGTAAGGTGGATCATCTTTTCCCATACGATTACATGTAAAACCAAATAATTCGTTTCAACGCGAAAAACATACTCAAATTAAAGCCAAGTAATACATTTAAAAAAATAACTGTAGTAAGAAAAACAAATGAAAAATACGAACTAATGTAACGTCGTATGGTGAGTTTTTGTTCGTATCGTGGAGCAAAAATATGTTCGAATTTCATATCGTATCCTGAAAATTTCGTATGCTGGGGCGTTCGTAACCTGAGGTACCACTGTAATTGGGACATAAGTTTTCTTGAAGATTTTCAAGATTCCAGCATATTATAGAAATTATATATAACAGTTGTATAAAAAAAACATGAAAATATATGCTTGAATATGATATTTGTTGAAATATGAAAGTACAGGTATCCCTGGTATAATATGGTGGTTACATTCCGAAAAAGTACTGTTATGCAAATTCATGCTATATGAAACAAAGTACTAATGCAAAACATGGGTTAGGTCTGAAAAGTTAGTAACGAAAAAGAATAGTATACTTTTGCTAAGAGAAATACGTTTATTAAAGCAATCAATAAACTAAAAATTACAATTAAAAGTACTGTATTATGCAATAATATTAATTTTAGTTAAACAAGGGCATTTTCTTTTTACAAAGTACCATCATCATCTGAGCTTTTTTTGTTGATCTTGGTCAGAAATATGAGCAATATCTTCATTTTTTTTATTTTTATCATAAGTTTTTATGGATGATAAAATGTTATTATTTGAAAATGAAAATGTTATTATTTGAAAATTTGCTCTAGCAGGTTGCAACTGTCCAGTTTGAGTATCAAGCAATATTGTTATTTTTATTTTTGAATTTGTGTTCTAATACTAAATTGTTAAAGTACCAAGATACCACTATATTTCATTCATCATTTTTATGAATGATTGATTACTTACCTACAGTTAAAAAAGTTTAATAGCATTTACCTGTGAATGTTTAAATAAACTTTACTAAATATGAAGATTAAGCTATAAAACCAAAACATTGACAGTCTTAAATGGTAATGTCTGAAAGCAATGTCATCAATACCTAGTTGATAGGAAAGCTAGGACAAGGAAAAAAAATTGTACTACAGTAGAACCTCAAACTCAGCTCTCGATAACCCGGCACTCCGGATAACTCGGCCACACCTTGGCAGGGCAAAAATACCCTTAGATAATTAATTTACATCATAGACAGCTTTATGCCTCAAAGTATTTTTCTGAGGTCTGTCTTATCAGGTTAATTACTGTACACAGTGTATTCATTAATTTTCATTTTCATGTAGTAAAGGCTCTATGCCTTCATAAAGGAAGTACTTTTCCTTTGTTTAAGGGTATTTGGGCAGTTTATTCTCTGTTATATTCTCAAGTAAACAATACATACAAGTACAGTACAGTATTTTCTGAGGAAACACTCATACTTATTTTTTTTAACCCCATTCCCGATAACCCGGCATTTTCACAAACTCGGCCACCCTTCAGTCCACATTAGGCCGAGTTTTTGAGGCTCTACTGTATCAGTTTTCATTAAAGTAAACCTGACTAAAGGCACAGAACAAATTAAAAATTTCAATATTCTAAAATCCATGGGCAAATTTGAGATGACATGTATGCTTGCTTGAATTTTAAAAAATATAGAATAATGGAGTTTGCACTTAAAAATTGTGAAATTTTGTAGGCAATTTCCCAAATTCTCACTGTTAGAGCAAAACCAGAAACCCTGTTGTATGGGAGTTAAATTAATATTTGTGGTTAATATCATTTAGTATGCTACTTTGTGTATAAAATGGCTTAACAAACAATTATTTGTAAAGAAGTTTTATCTAATGAATAAATTGTCCAAGAATCAATCTGAATATTAAAGAATAAAACAAGCTCTCTAGAATTTATAATAAATTTATCAATTTATTTATGGATAGCTAAAAGTAAATGGTTAAAATACAGATATTATAAGTCACTATTTATCAATTAATCAAAACATTTTCTAAGTTTAGGTTGATTCATAGTTTGTGAGAATGGAAAACAGAAGTGAAAATATTAAAATGTGTGAAGTGTTAATTCTTTTTCCTTCTATGTCCTTAATGTTTTGTTTTTTTCTTTTTACGTTGTCTACTTGGACCTTGTTTATAAATAGGATTTATTATACTGGTGTAGTTTCTCATTAGCAAGCAACAAGAAGTCTTAATCAAAAAGTAAAACAGAGCAATTATTTATTGTGGCATTGTCACAATTTTGGGCTGCAATTTTTAATCATATTTTTTAATTTATTTAATTTAAAATATATGCACTCTACCTCAAATTAGTAATGGCTTGCCCCTGTACATCATACTTTTCCTTTAACAGAAATCATGCTGGTCATGTATCTAACATCATTCAAGGGAAAATTTTTTAATTGAAATAACATGACTTCAAGTTTGCATCAGTCAGAAGTTCATATATAGTTAATTGAGGCTTTCTGCTCGTAAGGTTTCCATATCTAGTCTTGTCTTTCATTTATCTAACTATGTTCTTGAGATTAAGGAAAGACAGTGGGCATTTATAGGTCTACAATTTTTTCAAATTGCAGCTCAAATACCTTTTATTTTCATCTTTATTTTATTTTATCTTTTGATTAAGACTTCCTCTCTTTGATAATCAGAAACTACACCAGTATAATAAGTCCTATTTATAAACAAGGTTCAAATAGACAATATAAAAAAAAAGTGTGGAGTGTTGTTCACTAAATCATTATGCACAACACTCCCATTTTTTTTCTGAGAAAATAGAAGTTTTATTTTTCCTGCTAAACATTCCATAATTCTTTACATTGGTAATTAATAAAATTCTTTAAATGCTAGACCTAACAACAAACTAAGAATTGTTAAAAAGTTTTCCGTTAGATATTTAGTTAATACTGCCACTAACCTGAAAGTTGAATGTTATTGTTGACTAGAAATCTTTAGGACCACCCACTCTTAAGCTTTAGTTTCAAAAAATAACCTTTGTGCCATTACATGTTGTCATTTGAAGTAATACCTCAAGATGTGTTACTTCAAAGATCAAACAAAGATGATCTGATTTTCAGTGACCTCTAGTCAACAAATGCACACTTCCAACTTCCAGGTTAGAGAAAGTATTAACTTTTTACATTAGATATCTAATATTTTCTGAAAAGTGATAAATATTTATTGATTGATGTATAAAAATATTTGTGTATTTTGGATAATAACTTAGCCAATAATAAATTCAATATTCAATTAAATATTTTTAAATTTTATACAAAATATTGAAAATATACTTTGAAAAATATTACAAATTATAAAAAATCATACTCATATAGAATTTAAAAAGGAAGAATACACTTTTTTTTAAATAAAGTATTTTAAAAAGGCTTTGAGTGCTTTAAAATGCATTACTACTCATTTTAAACAGACTGATGCAAGTTCATACACATTTTTCTTTCGTTGTTTTAAGTAAGAACATGTTGTGTGAAGAGAACAGCAGTGGTGGAACTACAATGGAGCAAAGTAGTTTGGTTGAACAAGGGCTCTGAGCCAACTTTTTGGGTCAAATGATTCTATTTCAGTCAAGGGCTAAGGGCTTTTGAGAGATGAAAGTCCTGTCCTTTGTGGTGGGATGGGATTGGGGTTGGGCCCACATAGAATTTTGAACCATTGTCTGAAGTAAAATTGTTTTACCTGTGGAGAAAAATAAATTTTGTTTTCCATTCTCATAAAATACAAACTGACATTTTAATTCCTTAATTTTGACACTGATAAGTGTTATTTTGTGCATATCAGTGTTAATTGAAAAGTTCCAGTGTATTAATTAACTTTAATTTTGCCTAATTTAATCTATTATTATTGAAATTATCATTTTTAATTTGATTCTTGTTTTTATTACTTATAATATATATTTTTTTACATCTTGTTTAGAAAATAATTTTTCAAATACTTTATTAGATACATATTTGTGCATTATGTATTTGAATCCTAAAAGTTTATTTTTATTTGCAGGCAATCAAAATGTCAAGTTCACCAATCAGCAGTGTCAGGCCGACTTCAATGGCATCTCCCACTCCATCATTACAAGAATCATTACTTTTGGGAGCTTCTCCTCTTAGTTTTATTGGTGATCATAATCAGCCAGAAAGTGATGTTCCAACAAAATGCAATATTTGCCATGAAATTTTTACTCTACCAAAGGTATTACCTTGTTTTCATACATTCTGCCAGCACTGTCTTGAGAAGATACAGGAATCTACAGAGAAAATTAAATGTCCTCAGTGTCAACAAGAGTGCTCACTTCCTGTTCAAGGTGTTGCAGGGTTGTTATCAGATTATGCTGTGAGCAATATTCTGGAAATGGCTGCAATAGAAGGCACATCTCTTTGTTGTACCGGTTGCAAAAGCAAGGAATCAAATGCAGTTGCTAGATGTTTTGACTGTGCCAATTTTCTATGTCCAAATTGTGTGATGGCTCATCAGTTCATGCACTGCTTTGAAGGACATCATGTTTTAACATTGAGTGAACTTCAAAATAAAGATGACTTAAAAGTTGAGAAGCCTGTAGCATGCTTGAGACATAAGAATGAATTGTTGAAATACTTTTGTAAAACATGTAACATTCCAATTTGTAAAGAATGTACAATTCTTGAACATCCAAAAAGTTTGCATGATTATGATAATCTGATTGATGTTAGTCAAAAACAGATTGAACTTATCAGTCAAATGATAGAAGATAGTAAATTGAAGACCAATGATTTGCGTAATGCAGCAAAAACTGTAGAACACTTCTCCAGTCGTCTCCAGATGCAATATCATAAAGCACAAAATGAGGTCAATGAAACATTTCAGTTTTATCGTTCAATGTTAGAAGAAAGGAAACAAGAAACACAAAAAGAATTGGATAATATGTACAATACCAAAATTGTTTCTCTAAGTTTATTGGGCCAAAAAATTCAAGAAATGATAGACAAAATTCATCGGATGTGTGAATTTGTTGATAGAATTACTAAATTTTCCAGTAACACAGAAATATTGGTTTTTAAACAATTGTTAGATTCTACTCTACAACATATCCTTGCTTTTAATCCAGAAGTGAATCTGCAAAGTTTTGATCTCGAATTTGTATCAAATTATCAAGCAATTCAAGTTGGTGTGAGAAATACATTTGGCTATGTTCGCCATAATGCTGAAGTAGCCAGTCATACATCTAAACCACCACCCATTGCTAGACCAAATGGTACAATTGGTTCAGAACGTACTTATCATCAGAATGGTCATATATTTGAATCATCTATATTATCAAAAAGATTTAATTCTGCAAACAGCCTTGGCCCTTTTTCCACAAGTCTGACTGATTTAAGTCCTTATGAAAAATGGTCCAGTGGAACTGGAGATATATTTCAAAATGGAACTACTGAAACATATTCTTTAACTGATCCTCTAATTGATATATCTCCAAAATTTATATCTACAAATATTTATCCTCTTAAATCACAAATAAAAAGGCAGAAAATGATTTATCATTGTAAATTTGGAGAATTTGGAGTTATGGAAGGTCAATTTACAGAACCAAGTGGTGTTGCTGTAAATGCCCAAAATGATATAATTGTTGCTGATACAAATAATCACCGTATCCAAATATTTGATAAAGAAGGACGCTTTAAGTTCCAGTTTGGAGAATGTGGTAAGAGAGATGGTCAGCTTCTTTATCCAAATAGAGTTGCTGTTGTAAAAACATCTGGAGATATAATAGTGACTGAAAGAAGTCCAACTCATCAAATTCAAATATATAATCAGTACGGACAGTTTGTACGTAAATTTGGAGCAAATATACTCCAGCATCCTCGTGGTGTCACTGTTGATATTAAAGGTCGTATTATTGTAGTGGAATGTAAGGTTATGAGGGTAATAATTTTTGATCAGATGGGTAATGTTCTTCAAAAATTTGGATGTTCTAAACATTTAGAATTTCCAAATGGAGTTGTTGTCAATGATAAGCAAGAAATATTCATCAGTGATAATAGAGCTCACTGTGTAAAAGTTTTTAACTATGATGGTTCGTTTCTTAGACAAATTGGAGGAGAAGGATTAACTAATTATCCTATTGGAGTATGCATAAATCAGAATGGAGAAATATTAGTTGCTGATAATCATAACAATTTTAACATTACCATTTTTACTCAGGATGGACAGCTTGTAAATGCTTTAGAAAGTAAAGTAAAGCATGCCCAATGTTTTGATGTTGCTCTTATGGATGATGGATCTGTTGTTCTTGCAAGTAAAGATTACAGATTATATGTGTATTGCTATGTTCAAGTACATGGTATTGGACCCTGAAAAGTATCTTCATAAATGTTTTGGCTGGAAAAAAATTTGTTTGCTGCAATAAAGGCAATAATTGAAAATTTACAACGTTCAATGTCATTGGAATAGAGGTTAGTTTAGTCTTTGGAAGATGTCTGCAGCAGACTAATTTTGCTAATTTCTGTATCTTCTATCCTATAAAATGGTTATCATGGCATTGGAAATTTTGAATGTGAAAGTTAAATCTACTTGTATTCACTTTTGAGAGTAAGATATTGGTTTTTATAAGTAAGAATGTAAAATGTGACAGACAAGTCAGAGGTCCTGTGCTGCAGCCAGTATTGTAGGTAGATTTTACCTGTTGAAAAAGTTGAGATCACTAGCCTTGATAACTGTTATTTCACTCAATACACTATCATTTAATATTTAAACCTATTGAACAAGTTTTTTGAGTGATTAATCAATATTTACAGAAAGAAGAATTTTCCTAACTTTCCCTAGTCAATTACAGTTACAGTTACAAGCTTCCACTAAACTGAAGAGATTACTTTTGTGTAAAGTTAATAGATTTGTTTTTAATGTGAACTGACTTTTTTAATAGCATGCCAAAGATGCATAAATACCAACTGCTGTGATCATTAAACCATGGGGCCACTTGTTAACAATAGTTGTTGAATGTCTAGCCAGCATAAATGTCCTGCCTTAAATGCTTGGAGTGCAGCAAACTATGCCTTTAGACCTGTACTGTCAGGTCTGTTCTTCCAGTACATCGTGCAGGCATTTCCCTGTACATAAAACTTCCAATTTTAAGTTTAGAAAAGTATTGGTGCCAATTTTTTGTTAATAATTTAGCTTTGTGTTATTTATTTCACTGTTTCTATCTGTGAAAATGAGAGTTTAATCCAGTTGAATCATAATATGTTAGGAGCAATCATGCCACTAGTCTATTTCATTTCTTATATTGGTTATTATAAGTTATATTCTTCTGCAAATAATATGTTGATATACATTGTTCAGTTTAATTTACAAATTGGCTAAAAAATTATATGCCTTTATGATGAATATCTATTTCAAACAATGAAGAAATTTCAGGATCTTCCTGTGTACAAAATAAAAACACAAGGTAGATTGAGTTATTATATCTTAAAATATGCATTAATATAGTTCTTAAAACTTGCTAATGTTTTAAGTTTGTGATGAGAATTTAAATAGAAATTCTTGCAGAAGTGGCAATAAGCACACATTATTCGTCTGCAATAATGTCTTAATTGGCACTCATTTAATACCATTCATTTGGATTGGGAGATGCCATGCTCAAACCATTTGCAGACATTTTGGAATTCTATAATTTTAAACTAATGTTTAAAAATATGCTTGAAAGATCTGAGCGCAGTCACATTGTCTTAGACAAATTGATTTTATTTCTATTATATTTGTAATCTGATTTGCACAACTAGTTCAATTTTATGCAATCATTCCTCGGCTTTGAGTAATCTTTGTTAAATATTTGATACTTTCTATTGTTAGATATGTTTTGTGATCAATGTTGTTTTTTTGATTGCAATGATCTTTACTTATTTAATGAATATTTGAATTTATTTTACTGTAACTGTTAAATTTTTTTTATCATGCTTGTAAAAATTAACCATCCATCATTATGAAATATCCAGTCTTAGCGGCAACAGTACTTCAACGTACAATGGATATTTAATATTTAACGTCCATTTATTTCTGAAATAGAAGTATAAAAGTTTGCAATTTGAATTGGTATCTTTTGGATGTGAACTTTCAGGAGAGTATATTTATTATACTTCTGAAGGAAAATAATAAGTTAACTATAATGTAGTGCTCAAATTGCTGCAGAACAAGAATTCTTCTTCACATAATGGCAAGCTATTTTCTGATATTAGTTTGTATTAGTGTTTTTACATGTATGTTGGTGGTTACCAATAATCTACAGTTATAACAGTTTTGAACATTAATGGCAGATGTCTTCAACAGACAGCAGTTGTTATACAAATTGAGCACAAATGAAACTGTTGTTTTTGTTCTTTAGTCAGTTATTATTTAATGGGTGGGATTGGGAGAATGTGCCAAGAAGTTTTTACATACTTAATATATCAGGGAAATGAATGTTTATAGGGTTTATAGTTTGGAGTTTGTTTTATGGGGGGGAATGAATTTCTTAATGTGATATCCATCTACCTGCTGTCATATAAATAACTCTGCCATTAATCTTCAGTTTGTAAAACATTTTTAATCCGCTGAAAAATTGGCAGTGACCAGTTTACAGCATTTATTCAATATTGCAGAACTTTAAAAGAACAGAAATGTGGTTTACAATATTTATAATGTTCCAGTTCAAGTTTTTTTGTTAGTGTTGATTATTTTTGTTGAACTCTGCCAACAGATTGTGAAGTTGTGACTTTGGAGATCTACTATTCACATTGTATTACCAAACATATCTGAACATGTAGATTAGAATATAGTATATGTAATAGAAATGGCTTGTGCTATTATAGTGTGAAATGTAAATGTAGTTGTCTTACAGGTTTTCTCCACTATGCAATGTTTATTCCTTCTATTTTTTCTCAACGGCTGTCTCCCCTCATTCTCCCTTTTTCACTTTCCCAAAAAGAGATGTATTTTGGCATGGTGAAATTTTTTATAAACCATGTTGAAAACTAAAATCTGTTATTACTTCCATGTTGGTCAATATTTTTATGCTATAGTCCAATCTTTGTGGAGGAAAACCTGTTGAAATTGTAGTTTTTGTGAGACAAGGTGGCCTTGTCCCATATGTTATTCCATATAGTGAGGCTTCAAGTGCCCCATCTCATTTATACAAAAATTGTGTAAAAAAAAAGATAAAGTTACATGCACAAAGCCATCTGATTGAGTGACCTGTTTGTGAGATGCTGTTAGGATCACATTCCAATAGAATAAAAATTGCTTATTCTGCAGTATTAATTGGTTTGAGTATACTTTATAGAAAGGATCTTGTGTAGATCATAACTGTATTGCCATTGGTAGCCCAAATCATGGCAGCTCTGCATTTACAATCATTCTATCCTCATAGCTCAAAGCCAGTTGAAGGTGCTTTGTTGTAGTAATTTAAAATGAAAGCCTTTCTCTGGTGCTGTAAGAGAAATTCAGTAACAAGTTTGTGGTGTGTTATAATGTAGGGGTGTGCTTAGTTGAGGAGTGAAATTGCCATCTTTTACTCTATGAAATCATTGGGATGCACTGCATATGTAATTTGTGTATCTTGTAGTTTGACTGTCTAGCATGCAAATCCCTTGGAGTAACTCAGTGCAGTGGCAATCAAAATTTGAATCATATACTGTAAACATCATGATTTAAGTTATCACTCTGAAGATTGAACAACTATTATCATAAATGTCAATTCATGTTACACAGTTGCCTTTTTTGCTACTGCACTGCAGTTTCCATGGTAATACTGTTAGTATACTCTTTGAAAATTCTTTATTCCCTTATTAAATCCACAAAATGTCCATAATGTCACTTGTTTTCTATCCCACCTTTTTAAACGGGCGTAGTTAGGATCTATATTAATCCTTAACTGAAAGGTCACACAATATGAAGTCAGATTTTTCCTACAAAAATAAAAAATAAATAAAAAAAATAAATTATTATTCCTGAATAAGTCACTATTGGTTTATCGTTTTAATTTATAACACGACATATTTGTGGTGAAGTTTTGTCTTTCATGTTTGTTACTTGACTGTAATACTGCATTCAATAAAGTATTTTTGTTTGCAGACAGTTTTCTAGTGATTTAATTCATTAAGATATTCATACGGTTGCCTTAATAAAATGTTGTTTAAAATGTTTAATAATTTATTTTTAATGTTTTTAGGTGGAAACATTTTAATTTAAAATCATGACGATTAGAGAAAATATAATCTAAAGAATTTTAAAATTTGTTTTAATTTTCGGTATATTTAATTCCTTAATTTATAACAATTCTATTAACATTTGTTAAAAGCGTTGAATCTTAACTCGTTTAATCAGTGATTTCATCATTTATGATATTTTTGAAAATAAATGCAAAATTGTTTTTGCTAATTTTCAAACAGATAATTGTAATACTATAATTTTCAATGTCGCATTTCAGAAGTGTCATTTCTTAATCACACTGTCCAGTTCTATTCATGATTTATGCATGGCTGCATTCCTGAAACGCTCGCATGTAAACAAATTCGCACAGTTACGACCAATTATCACAGATATAAAATGTCAAAAATTCGAGAGATCTCGTGAACACGTAGTCAACACAATTTTCGCTTAAAATAATTAAGAGACTTCGATATTTTGAAATTAACTAACATTTACACTGTATATTATGAAACTGTTGAATTTTCGAAATTATGTACTGTACAGTATAGTGCAACAGGAGAAAAATACAGATATTCCTTAAATATCATTAGTAACATATTTCTACGATGTCATTTATACATTAGAGATCAATTCCATAAACTTTTTTTTACCACTTCACACAGTGGAATTTAATTATTGCTGCTGGCAAGGGAATGCATTTTCAAAATCTCTCAAAATAAGACTGGTAAAACTATAACCAAGTTTTATTCGAATCCTGACTTCTTGCTACATTTTCAAGTGGAGTAAGACGATACCAAAGAAATTAATAAACTCAGAAGTATGCAAATGAAATATTTTAAGCTTGTAATATTTTACACTGAATCACTTAAATTACATCTTTTATTAAAATTAAATTTTGAATCGTTTTTTATTATGAAATTCGACGTGTGGATTCATAGACGATCATTAATTACGTTATCAACAAAACAGTTTTTTCATAACTATAGTCTGGTTTCAAAAATGCTAATTCTCGATAAAACTGGACATCATTACATTAATAACTATGTTAAATTTTTGTTTTAAATGAACTTTTTATTGGCTGTCTTATAAGTAAAAAAGCGACTAATAAAAATAGGCAAAACTGTTCTCAAGTTTTTAAAAATAAAAAGGCAACTACAAAATAATAATAATTAGACAAAGTTACAAAGTTGTTTTGAGTATGAGTTCAGATGTGTTCTTTCTTAATTTTTTTTTTATTTTAGTTATCGTCTTCCAGAAAACTCCCAAGAAAGAAAGAGAGGGAAATTAGATTCCAATAAAACTTCTATAATAGAAATATCACAAGGATTTAAATTTCTGTAGCTTAAAAACGTTATCGAGAATATAGTATATGAACAGTTACTACAGTATACACTGAACCTATATAATATCTTAAACATACTAATAAATATTAAGAAAAATCTTGACCTTCGTTTAGATGGTATTGATATTGTTTAATTTCATGATTTTGTAGTAATTTCTATGAAAATTTTCCACTAATATTTCGAAATTTTTGTAATGAATTCTGTACCTTCGTTGTACTTCAAATAAAGTACAACGAAGGTACAGAATTCATTAATTAATTAAAAGTACACAATTATATCAATAGTATGAAAAACATCGCAAAACTTCATTTATTTGCTTTCTTTTACACTTAAAGAACAAGGAAAGCTTTATAAATGGATTAATCTAAACTTTATTTCAATACTTTATAGAATCTATATTTGATTTTTTTAATGTCATGAAAATTGAAACGATTTCGGTGTTTCAATATTATCAATGTAAAAAAAGTTATGCGAAAAACTAATTTTTAAATAAAATTAATAGTCACTAGAAGAAATCCATAATTGTTTTGTAGAATCGCATATTACAAGATAAATATTTCGAATAAATGAGCCAATAAGTTTACTTTTAAAAAGTTCAGGAAATTCGGTATTGCCCGAGAAGCTTTGTTTTTGATGATGGTAAATTATCCTAATTTCATAAACAGTCTCTCTACAATTTGCACAATTTTTTTTTTTTTTTTTATAGGAAAGTTATATCAACTGCAACAATAATATACGTATACATGCATAACATATATAAATTATGTACTGTATTCTATAAATTGACAATTTTTATTTTCTCTCAGTAAGAAATTATATATTATTGAATCTTTATAACCCATCTCTTAAATGAGAAAAACTTTCAATAATTATAAGTATTTTGAAAATATCAATTATTATTTTGTTGGTATTTTAATAAATTGCATAAAGCAGCATTAAAAAACGAAGTTTTCAATTTCTATTTTCGACAGAAATGTAATATGATAAAAGTTTATTTGAAAAAAAAATTCTACTTGAATATAAAGGATATTGTAGGCAATAAAACAATACGTTCATTTCTCACCATATCATTAATTAAAATTTTTAATACTTGACTAAACTATAAATTAAAAACAAAATTATGAAGTTTTGGATAATTTCTCATGTAGATATTTATTAGAAATTTATATTTATAGTTAATACAGGCTATGAAAATATTTCAATTTTCATCATTTCACCGGCATTCCATCATGCCTGGCTGGATGCTATTTTTAGTAAACGTTGATAAATGGTTTTTATATTTCGTTTTCGAAATTGAAGTTTATCGTCCAATATTTTATTTAATTGAATAAAAAGACTTAAGAATTTTAATGCAAAATTTACAATTCAGATTAGTAACTAACAAATTCCTATCTTTGCCCCATTAAATTTTTAATGTTTTAAACTAAATTAACACTGATTTTTCTTGTATTCTTCGAAAAAATTCTCGCAATACATCGGGAATCAATTTTTCACCATAGTTGCGGAGTGAAAGCATTAAGGCAACGTTAAAAATACTATCGAGCAGAGTGCAGTGTGTAAATTGAACGCTTTTGTGACAGTATTGAGCTCAACGCTGATTCGTTGTTGAAAATTAAATTTGTTCTACACAACATTCTTCATTGTAAAGTACACGTAATTTTAAAGTCTATCGGAACAAACTACTGTGCCACCTTTGGGAGAATATCGCGACATATTTTTATTACAATTAATGCTTCATATTTATTAAAATCTAAGTGGATTATTACACATTTAACTTATATAAAATTATAATGCGATCGATATCGTATTAAGGGGGAAAACATTTTTCGACGATCAACTTTATTCACATGTTGGTAATAAGAAATGGTTATTTTTTCAAAGTGTAGTTTGTATTAATGGTGCTAACTAGTGTTAGTTTCATTCAATTTGATATGATATAATGAAATGTTTAAAATTAAAATGTGCAGATTAAAATTTGTCAAAAATTCGAGGTAATTCCAATCTTTTAAACCCGTTTTGATGATAATTTTATTTACTCTGCCATCAGACATCTGTTTCATATGTTATTCATGAATCGTTTCCTGTAGACCTATGTTCGCATTTTGTATAGCTTACACAAATTTTATAAATCAATTTGTAGTTTGAACAATTTTGTTATGTAGGCCTATATAAAAGTAATTGTTTCAATAATATACAAAAACTGTCGATTCATATTTTTAGAGTGGTATTTACAATTTATAATTTCAGTTTTTCAAATATACTGTGTGTTTAGTCAAATTATTAGACTGAAGTCTGCATTTTCCATTTGCTGTAGTACTTCATTTATTCATCGTAATTATCGTAAGATATCCTATTTCTAGATTACGTTGCTAGTTTCGACTTTAAATATTTAAATGATAAAGATTCCCGAAAGCAAAAGTGTTTCCAGACGAAGAATTTCCTATCTCTATAAACACAAGTTTTTATGAATCTATATTTTCAGATTATTTTAATTATAGTTTTCAATCACATACATGCATATTATTAAATATACGTAGTATATAATCGTAGTTGAGTGTTTCACTGTTTACTCTTCACAAAACTTGCATGATTTTCTTCATACCTGCGTGTATTGATTAGTTCTTCAGGACACTTCACATACAGATTTCAATAAAGTATACTTGAAACAATTTTAATGAATGAACTGAAAAAAAAAATACTCAAGATCTACTTTAAAGTTAAAATGTAAATTATCAAACTAGTTGTAGGTAAATAGGGTTGTCAGAACATGGAGTTGAGAATGTTCATGACGTAAACGATCTTTTTGATATTTTAAGTGTGTACTGAGGTGTACAAAAATGTTTTCAAAGAAATGT